GGGGTACATGTTAAACTGAAGCTACAAGTTGACCGCATAGGAAAAGAATCTTGACGTATTTGTGCTAGATCGGATCTTTGTCGGATTGGGCCTCATGAGGTTTATGAGCATTTGGCAACACTCACACAATGGTTAAGTGTAGCCTGCTTGTGCCCCCAAGTCTTACTGCTGTCACGCTCCGCAATCAACACCTGCATCACGATCTAGCAATGGGCATGATTGAGGAAGAAGAAAAATCTTACGATCAGCACGATTACCTACATGACTCGGGACGTTGTCCCCAGCATCATGGTCAGAATGCAGCCGTCAGCTCATCCAATGTTTCTTGACTTGAAGCTCGGATTATCCGGTTGAGAACAAGTGCAGGTTTTAGAACAAGGCCTTGATATGTTAACTAGGCTGTTAAATATAAAGTACTTTCTTGTAAGTACCATTAGAGGACCTTACTTACTGTTCAGACCTCTCGTGGGCTGCACAATGCGAATGGCGGGACAGGGGCTCTGTTCGTGTATTGGGTGGATAAAATGCGGTGGTCGGAGCAAACAGGAACTGTATCACCTTTAGTCCCTGCAAGCTGAAGTATGAGTCCCAAAACCCTGCATTGAATACAAGGCCGAGCAGTATGGGGTAGTTGCAAACGCAACTTACCGAATCCAAGGAAAGGTGCAACGGCTTACAATCGGGCATGCAAAGCCTTCCCCAATAAGTACGGTACAGACCATTTGCCATTACACGAGGCCTTGCCTATCAGGAACAAGTCTTGGCAAAAACCATGGAACTTGGGAGCCACCTTAGGACCCTTGAGTTGATGCCATGTACCGGAGACCAAAAGCCCAAAACCCTAACCCTGGGCCCTAAGCCCTAGGCCCTAAACCCGAACCCCCAAACCGATTACGTGTGGTGTTGTGATGGTACTAGCAATGCCAGGCAGGGTTGGGCCAGTGACTACAAGGAATGCTTTCAGTGTTCCTAATCGCCGACTCTCCTTTGCAGCAATGCAAGGACGCATGGATGATGGACTGTGCGGGCGTTAATAATTACCAATACTATTTGGGGGGTTCCTTGCTATAGTTCTCCTATAATATCACCCCCAAACCCTATTCTAATTGTTAAGGCCCCTATAGTAGGGCTTGGGGCTACACCCGATCAATGGTTTCGGGTTCGCGCGTGAAGCAGCGGCATGCATTTCTCAATCTTGAGCACACGGTCTGGACACCGGCTTAGAAATGCAGCGTACGCAGACCTCTCTTCACAATGACTTTGCTTGTTCTCGTGGGACATGAAGCTTCAGATGCTCCTGCTCTCTGGACTAGGGACGTTTTGTGCAGAATGATTTGTTGGGGTTGAGGACTGTTCGGACTCACACACTTGCAGAGCAGGCAGGACCTTTTATGGGTTTTGGTGGGGGGGGGGGGGGGGACACGCATAGGGTTGGGTTTGGAAACGGGCTCAGGGTTTTGATGAGGATCTAAACCCAGCACCATCACTAGGTAATGAGAAACACTACAATTTCTGTAATCTCTTGCAGGACGTGGCCCATTGGCTCGCTTGCAAGGTGCAAAGCAGAGCGTACCTTTTCAAGGTCTCCCCGCTGAGACTTGGCAAGGTTTGGTGCACCGAAACAGAAGGCATGGGTATCTGCCCAAGCCACAACATACTAAACCCTGTTGCATCTAAGATTCCTACCCCAAACTCTAAGACACTAAGGGCTGGACCCCTTGGACAAGTAACCAGCCCAACCACCCACAAGCGAAGATTATCTCGTGTCGCCGTGACTGACATTGCTCTTGGCTTCTAGGGTTGAGGCATTGCAAAGGCCTGGGCGAATCAAGGAGCTGCACTCTAGTATGGAGGGCCGCTTTAGTTAGAAAAGACTATACAGCCTCTTTTTCTGTCACATGACTAGTGTTGAAATACCAGGCATCCTGAGGAACGTATTTTTTTCAGGCCTATGGGCCAATATTTACGACTCTCGGTGCGTCGTAGCTGTGCCCCAAAGCTTAGGTCTGCTCAAAGGTCATCATCGTCGTCCGATGGGATGGGAACATCCATGGCCGCAACTTAGCTGCAAGCAATTGAACTTAGTGGGTTTCGACGCTCACACTCGCACAAGGCAGGCAAGGCTCCACAACCTTAGTGGGTTTAGGATTCAAGGTTTGATCCCTCCGGGGTTCTAGGTTTCGACACTCACACTCGGACAAGTGTAGGGGTCTTGCGGTTTCGGGTGTAGGGGCCTGGCAGTTTGCGGTTCAGGGGTTTCAAGGGAGTGCAGTTTAGCTTAGAACACAAGATTTTCGGGAAGGCTGACGACACAACGAAAAGACCTTAAGGTTTTATAATGTTTGCCCGGCTTTCGATGGCTTTGGAGACTTAGTTCTTGTTGGTGTGAAACTCGGTTGCTGCAATGCAATGCCAAGCTGTTCTCCGAAACCCCACGACTTCAATATAGACGACTAAATCGCAAGCAGCCGGGTTTAGAAATAGGCATCCCGAAAAGGGCCCAGCAAGTACTTTCCGCAACTCTATAGAACTGGAGCATATACAAACCTGAAGGCCCATACAGCAGAAGTTCAGTGATCAGTGCCAGGGCAGGCTTAGACAAGAGAAGAACTTCGATAAGCTGGACACGGAACCCTCAACCTGCTAACCCGCCCTGAGCCGGATATATGCTTCTGGCATCACCTCAAGCTAAGCACTCGCTCTGCAACAAAACGCAGCTCCACCGTTCGAGCCTGCACCCGGCCCTTTCTGGCTAAACGACTACAGCCCTAAATTACAGCGCACAGAGTTGAAAGCCAAAGGCCAGGGACCGAACCATAAGGGGCTTCGAACATTCCAACGAGTTTACTGTAGGAGCCTGCCTGATTCGAGCAAAGTGCTGGGGCATATAGATTTGCAAAGCATATATGGCACTATAACTAGAGGGTTTTGTTGCTAGATACCCGGGCAGCAGTTCATATTATGGCAGTACACCCGACAAAAAGCTCCCGAGCCATTATTGAGCCCCTCGCCGTCTGCCGGCACGGCCATGGTGGGTGCTTGCTGCGCTGCAACCTAGGGAGAGGAGGCTGGGCACAACGCTGAATGCGCTGAAGCGCTAGCAGTCTCCTCTCTTTACACAAACACAGCGAAAAACAAGATATGCCCTAAATTGCCTACCCCTTTTGCCCGAAAACGACCGAAAGTCTAAACCCCACACCCTTAGCGTAGGGGCTGTGAAGGATAAGCAAAAGGTGCCGATGAACGATGAACCTCTAACTAACGCCTAACACCCGATCAAGCCCTACAAACCCTGCAAGCTGTGAAATCCCGAAGCCTTACATGCCCCAAAAGCCTTGATGTCACCGAAAAGCCAGTATGTATAAAGAATGCATGTGCGAGCCCATAAAGCCACAGCCCCGAAACTCTGAACTACCAAACAACCAGGCTCCATAACATAAGGGCCTTGATAACTAGAATAGGGTCTTGGGGCTCACTAATCACTATACTATCATTACAATAATAAGGAGGCCCCAAAATATTATAGGTGTACTATTTAAGCCCCTATAGTATCCTTTTTTGTGCTCCTCGGAAACCCGCTTACAACCGCCATGACACCCTACGGTTGATGATATGAACCCTGCATTACCCATAAAAAAAGGAATATACCATAACTCCAAAGGACTATTTCATGAATCCCATAGTCTATCATTATTAAAGAAATTTTTAAGGTAATGCAAGAGAGAGAGATATATATATATATATATCATCATCAACACTCTCTCTATCTCTCTTTCTCTCTCTCTGCCGTGCCATCACCAGTCCAGGGGTCTCGCTATGCGAGGCCACGTATGAAACCGTAAACCGTATATAGATACCATAGAATCCGCATACAAATCACACCTTTGCAAAACCAGTCTGGCGTCCTGATGAAACCCTAAACCCTAAACACCCTCAAAGACCACGTGCAACCGCACATGAGCATCATTGCCGCGAAGAGTCTGGAGCAGGACGGGCGGAACCTTCCGACTGAGCAGCAAATGGGAGAGCTCAGGGTTGAATATTATGGGGAGCCTTCATAATTAGAGTAGGGCTTTTACTATGTGTCATGATGTAAAAACAACAAGGGAACCCCAGCATAATCCCAAAGTTACCAGACCTGATTAAGACACCTTTGGTCTTGAAAAAGGGCTATATGCTAAATATTATAACATATACACATACATATACATTTACATATACATTTACATTTACATATACATATACATACATAATCATATATAGACATAGACATAGACACAGACACAGACATAGACCTAGACCTAGACCTAGACATATACATATACATATATATATATATATATATACATGAAACCTACTATGAATGGGGTTGTTCCTTTGGGCCAGGCTTTGTTGATCAGGTTCCTACATTACATTACATGGATTTGTTGGGGCTGGAGGGCTATGGCTTGGGAGTTTGGGGTTCGGGGGCTACAGGGTCTATTTTGGGGTTTAGGGGCTCTTCTGGTGTTGTTGGTGAGGCGGGGGGTAGATGTAGAACCTCAGCAAGTAAAGCATTTACGGCCCTTTCAGACTGCTTGCTTTCCGTTTTGTTCAAGGTGGTCCGAACTGGACCATGCCGTCTCACAGGTGGCTGATTACTTACAGCCAAAGCCGGGGAAGTCGAATTTCGGCGTGCAAGGCCTTGGTCACCGGATGGCGAATCCCTTCAGGATGCCCCCGAATCGACCGGTCTGGCGTAGAGGCCAACCGTGTTTGTTTAGATTGGCGAAGCCATTCGACCTGGTGCTGGCGCGTGGCTCGATTGATACCCATTTCTATATCTGCTTCTATATTCTATATCAGCCACTTTGCCAGCTGCCAGCGAGCAGTGGGCGACAGTCAGGGCAAACAGGGTTTAGGGTTCAGGGTTTTTGTAAGGAATAGGATGGCTAATATGGGAGTTTCCGAAAATTAGGGGTACCTCATTTTGGGGGTCCTTATTATAAGGGTCCTACTATTCAGAGCAAGCCCCTCACGCCGTCGTAGTGGCCACCCGGCTCATCCAAGGCATACTCGTCGGCCTTTGTGCAGCTCTCCGTGAAGTACAAGCCCTTCCCATACATCGTTCCAGCGCCCGAGCCGGCTAGATTGAGGCTGAAATCATTTTGAGCTATCGCCAGACCGGTTCGAACTTGGGTTCCGTGCCAGAGGTAAACCTCGTTGATGCTGTCATCGACATCGCAAAGGACGTCAGTCAAGCCATGGGAGGCTTCCAAGGCGGCACGTGTGAAGACCTCAGGGTCCGGAGATTCACAAGACGAACGAGATGTTTTGACCTGGTCGCATCTATCGATGTAGCGAGTGAACATCGCAGAGTCTTCCACACGGATGACGCGCTTGATCTGGTAACCTGTGGGCAGGCCAGGATCACCACCAAGCTGCACACAGGGGCATCCACCCTTGGTCTTGTCGTGCTTGCCTGTCGGGCATAGACGATCTTGCGTCGTTATCTGGCGATACGTGTGGTTGACCAGGTCCTGGAAAAATTCCATGTGCTCATGTTTAACATACATAAGCTCGGCGAACCCCGAGTGATCCCTGACGCTGACTTCATCGCTTCCGCTCTCCCGGCATCCGGTCCAATACTTCGGAAGGCTCTTCATCGCCATCTCGTTCAACGGATGCACCAGCTCCTTACTCTCCGAGCGCAGTGTCGCTTTGCCACCGATGACCACGGCCGACGGTCCATCTACGTCCGGCTTCGTCTGCCTGGCCCGACGGAAACACCTCCACACGATCAACAATGCCAAGAGCACGACCGGGACGCCGCCAGCGCCAATCCAAACTGCCACAAGTGCAGCATCGTCCTGGCCAGAGGATGCTGTCGGAGTAGAAATCGTGCAGACCATCGTCCTGCCGATGTTGCCTTGCCCTACGTGGTAGTTGAAGTAAATATTGCCGGTCTTCAACCACAGGTAGCAGCCTTTCGACAGAGTTTTTCAGGGGTCTATGTTTTAACTGTTTAAACATTTACTGGACGATCTCCACCGAGATATGACCGGCTGCCTACTCTTTGAAAGCCGGTTTCTTTGAACAAAGGGGCCCCGCAACTGAAATTGTTTAAAACACGTTGAAACGCCAAGATGTTTGAACCAACATGTTCAAACACACAGACACACGCACACATGTTTAAACATGTCTACTCTAAACTGTATCATAGCTTCACTTTAGTTTAAGCCTCGCTAAAGCGCGTAATTGATGGAGTGGCTTAAGCCCTGCATGTCGTAGCTTGCTGACGCCGATTGATGTCGTCGCACCTCGAAGAGAAAACTTCCTACTCCCTGCTCTGAGCTCTCAAAGACGCACGTGATGCACTTGCCCGCGAGTCCAAAGATTAAGCCCATTATCCCTTTAGCAGGGCTCCCAAAACCTGAAGCGACCTCTTCTACGTTTAAACACGTTCAATCGCACGGCGTGAAAAACACACGGCATAAACCTCGCGGGCAACTGGCACGGCCTCCGTAACGATTCCTTAACCTGAATCCCTCTCTTATGCTCACTTCATGCCTCACACAACCTGCAAACATGTTTAGAACCGAGAGGATCGGCCCTGAGTCTGCGGGACAGTTCGTGAAGCCCCCTGCCTGGAGGATGTATCCCTGCCCGATGTTTGTTGTAGTTGTTGAGGTCGTTGAAGGGCCATCGCCTACTTCGCAAGCGAGCTTCGCAAGGCCGTTTCCTTGTCCTGCATTGTAGTTGAAGTAAAAGTTGCCACCCTGAGCGTACAAATAGCAACCGTTCGGAAAAGCTGGAGTGTCTTCAGCGGACCAGAACGGGAAACCAAGAGCGGCGGCGGCTCCTTCGCAGCGGGATACTGTGAGAACTGGCACCGTGCCCGTGGGACAGCTACTCAAGCCCGCTGTCTGGAGGATGAACTCCGGTGCGGAGGATGTGGTCGTTGTCGTTGTCGTGTTAGCACTGGCGCCCTCCTGGCAAACGATGCCCGAATTGCCTTCGCCTTGCCCAACATGAATGTTTAGGTAAAACTGGCCGTCATTCAACCACATATAGCAGCCATTTGGATATCCAGCTTCCTCCTCCGTTCGCGCGAAGGAGTAACCAAGAGCTGCCGCGGCTTCTCTGCAGTCAAACTCTGAAAGAACAGGCCCTGTCTCTGCGGGGCAGTTCGTCAAGCCCTCTGTTTGGAGGATTATTCCGCTGAGGCTGTCGTCAATCGGGCCAGGACCGCAAACGCAATGGCTAGCTTCACCATTGAAAACTGCTGACCCCTAAACTTGCCGCGCTGTGGGCCGAGCCAGTGATTGATTACTGAGTGAAACTTAATGCCGCAAGGTGATTCTTAATAAGCCCTTCGTCATCGGACCCTTGTCAGGTTCCGTTTTGGGTCTATGATTTTTGCAAGGTTTGGGGTGCCGTATAAACTACAGTTGAGGTTCTTGAATTGACGTCGTGCCGAAAATCATGCGGATCAAGGTGTAGCTTTCAGGATCTTGATCGAAGAAGGGGTTCCCTTCGAAAAGTCTTCGGTGTGACTACGATGATGGTTCGATTAGTCCGGAATCCGAAGGTCTGCAGTGCGACCCCGTAAACCTTTTCGTCAAACCACAGCATCCTACATGAACCCCAACGCTCCCTCTGAAAGCATGCGCCCCCCATATATCTGGACCCTAAACCCTGAACCTTTATACATCCCAGGCACCAAAGCTCGTGACATTCCGGTGCTCTCTAGGCCTCCACTGGATGCCTGGCCGCAGGCGCGTCCGAGAATTGCGCACTTGAAGCTGAGGCCTCGACAGGCGTGGGGTTTGGCGGTTCTGGGCTTCGGCTTCAATATGGTTCTTGCCAAGGGCTTCATTTTTAGTTAACATAATGGAGAAACCAGGTTATTTACTATAGATCCCTATTATGGTAACTTAAATCTGTATCCCTTAGTTAACAAGAACCCTGCTTCACTAGGCTTCGCGTGACATGCTTCAGGTTCAGCTTTAGCCCCCCAGTTGCAAAGGCTGCGGGATGAGTATACGTTAGAAGGGGCCAAGCTTGAGAGCGTCAGTCGTACAGTGCGCAAAAGTGGTAATGCGGATCCACAAACCCTACACTGCAGTATACCAGCCCTAAAAACCCTTAACCGACATAAATACTATCCAGCCATTCTACGACGCCTAGGCCCGCTTAAATGCCCAATGCCCTGCCTGTAGACCCACACGATACAAAAGAGTCGGTTAAGATAACCTGAATAGCTGTAGCCTTAAAACGCACAAGACCCATGCAAAGCTTAACAAACATGCCCACAAGCCTGAACGCCTTTGTCTTTGTGCTACATCATGGTTTAGGGTTTAAAGTCTACATGCATCAAATCTCTAGGCTCCAAGGAGGAGGCCCAGAGCTCTACCTCCTCCAGTCTCATGCGACTTGCCTCGTCCTGATCGACTTACTACGGGAACCCAAAGTGGTCTTCCTTGATGGCTCAAGAACGTGTGTACGCCATGTGCATGCTTGCGTGTGCGTGTGTGCGTGTGTGTGTGTGTGTGTGTGCGTGTACTAGCATCTAGGGGTTCAGATTAGCTTGTTTAGCTTGCGCCTCCTATCAAGACCTTGGAAACAAGTCGAGGTAGCGATTTATGCAACCTTGAATATCGTCGGGAACACTGAAGCAAGAAGGCTCTAGCTCTGGATTCCCGAGTATCGTTTCTCTTTACATCCTTTGGACGCTTCTGACCTGGTCTTAGGACTTCAGGGTAGGGGTCAGCCTTCTAGGGTTTTGAGCTTCAGGATGTAATGTGCAGAGCTTTAGGATGTACTAGGCTTTGGGGCATTTGGGCTCGTAGGTGTATTCAATGACGCAGGTTGCCCAGCCGAAGCGCGAATTTGAGAAACAAAAACGTTGCGTTTGTGAAGCTTCGCTGTCGGTCAGCACGTCAAGTTGGTCAATTTGGTGACTTAAACAACTTGCTCAATCAGGTGCGTTTTCATCACAGCCAAGCAGCAGCTATGTAGTTAGGTAAGGACTTACCAAGACAGCCAGGCAGACCTTAAGCATAGGACTCTCTGACTCTTACACAAGAAGGAAAAAGAGGGCTCCCACCTACCCGACCGGCCCGAGCCTCTAGCCTCAAGCGACCATGCAAGGCCTATACCGTAAACTCGAGCTGTATAAGACCCTAAACCCCTGAATCCTAAACCCTACATAGACCCTAAACCCTGGGCCCCACATCCCAAAAGTCTGGTTGCTGGACCAGCCTTGAGCGGCAAGGTCCACCCCCAAATCCACGGCAGCACCACAAAGCCTGGATTTGGCGGGCATATGGTTTGCGGTCATCCTTTGCAGCTCACAGTCCAGCTGACGTCGCCCCAAAAGAGCAGCTGAGGTCTCGGAAATTGGATTTCGAGCTTCAGGGTTTGTGGTTTAGGACTTGGTGTTTAGAGTTTAGGACTCCGGATATCTGATGGGAAAACGACGACGACGACGATGAAGCAGGTCGTAGCAGGTCTCCTGTGCCCGAGGCTGGTGGGATTATCTGACATCTAAGTCGAGTCGGAAGCGACCACCAGTGCTGGATTTTGCCGCCGGGGCCACGTGCAAGAAAGCTGTGGGACCGCAGGGTTTACGGCTTTGCGGGTTATATAGGAATCGCCCAGCTGCAACATTCGCCGTGACATGTTGAGGCAGGATGCCAATAAACCGAGACCCCGGAGTCGGAACAAGTCAGCTTGGCTTTCTGCGCAATGACCTGACCCTTATTGCCCCCTGCTCCCCACAAATAACCGGCTTCCTCTATGTCCAGCGTTGATAACCGCGCTGTTGCATCATTGAATCCTCAAGCCAACACACGCTTAGAATCCCAAAAAACGAAATCAGGGGTCACCAAAGATCACCAAAGCACGCGGCACCTTAAACATCAGACGGCAAATCCGTAAACCCCAAATGCTGAATCCTTGAACTTACATTAGCCACCAAAACCCCCAGAGCCCCCTAAACTTCTGTGCCAGAACCTTCAGGGCAGCCCTACAAGACCATACCAAAGCTGGAACCCCGAAAACCCTAAAACACTGACCCGTAAACCCACCTAGAACCTCAAAACCTAAACTCCCGAAGCCCTACATCCCTGACCCTGAAACCTCAACCCCTAAACCTCTCTAAACCCTATAAGCCCCAAGGCTTTTCTCCCAACCAGGCAAGACCCTGTAAACAACGCAAATAATGCCGTATACTGCAAACCCTAAACCCCTAAACCCCAGCATTTGAAATGGCAAGGGGCTCGCAAATGTGTCGGTGCAATCCCGGCCTCAGAGCAGCTCGGCTGCAGTAGGATTTAGGGCTTAAGGTTTAGGGTTTAAGGGCCCTTTGGGTTTATAGGGTTTGGGGTTTAAGTTTTTGTTTTTGTGGTTTACGCTCTCGCAACTCGGACACTGCCAGACGAGGCTCTTGGCGCGCACGGTCAGACTACAGGGGCAGCTCGACTCAGCTTGAGAAAACCGCGACAACAGAAGGTAATGCCACAGAGGACAATGATTCAATGAGTCGAGCCAGCCCCGAGAACAATCAGAGTTTCACATTGGAAATCTCGCAAAGGTTGGAGTCAAGTCGCCAGAAAACATAAGAACAGAAGATGAAGCCACAAATTACACCCAACTCCTCGAATGGGGATGGTCACCAGGACAGCCAACCCACACAACCAGGCATTCGGTTAAACCGAAACGCAGTGCAAGTGAAAACCTACACAGTGTACCTAAATGGCTATCAATTTAGGCAAAGCAGAAGCCGAAGTTGTCTCTGTCAAGGTTTTAGGGTTTATAGGGTTTAGGGTTTAAGGGTCCAGGAACTAGGAGGTTCTAGGGTATAGGGTCTACATTAACCCCCCAAAACCCACCTTCCCTGAGAACGATT